AATCCTGTGATTTCAACAACTTTTACATGTGCCTGTGGAAGTGTTCACAGTTTTAGACATTTTCTGAATAGGATGAGAGCTCTGACTGGCTCCTAGTTAAACCACTGTCTGTGTAATACGGGGAAGAATCAAATCCAGCAAACAAAACCTCACAAAGTATTCAAATCAGCACACATTTCATAATCCTTGAATTTTTCATTGGCCTTCATCTTGTCATCCCTTCCATCTCTCCTCCCACAAGCTTCAAATCCAATCCACTCTCCCAGTAAGCTGAAGAAAGGTTACATAATAAGATCAGATAGGCAAAAGTAAAGGAATGCTGACAATGTCCGTTTTGCATTCTGCGGTAGCGCATTAACAGCTACTGTCTGTTGTGTTGGTCTCTCGATGACGATTCTTTCCTTGAAGCAGATAAAGGCTACTTCTCCACAGATCAATACTTCATTAGAAATGACTACAATCATTCACACACAGTAAAATGCTTCTCTATTCTGTTCTTGTAAGTATGGGAGGCCCTAATATCCCAGGATACAGCATCCCACAAACAGGCTACATGTACATGTACACGTAAGGCCACATTAATTTGAAAAAATTGAAAAGAAATACGTCCCTCCCCAATTTTTTTTTTTATTTATTGCCAAAAAAAGAGGGAAAAACAGCCTTTTGGATAATCCCACACTTAAATTTAGCGATCTTCTGTTACAGGCTTTGAAAATACTTTCAGAAATTGCCAATTACTCCTGAAGTTGCTGAACATCTCCATGTACGAGCGCAGATTCATCCAACCTCAACTCCACGGTGCAACAAAATTGAGCCCATGGGAACAATGTTGAGATTCACCAAACTCGTTAGAGTGTTTGTGTAAGCTGCATCCTAAGTATTGGCTGCATTAACCTATGGAAAACACAGCAGTCGGCAAGGCGGCAACCACAACAGCTTTGTACAATGCAGTCGCAGCCATAGCCAGTAATTCGGATGCTGTCATAGCCCTCTGCTGCACGCTGGGTCAATACTCAATAGCAGCAGCCATTCATTCCCAGAAACTAATCCCATTTCACAGAGCTATAGCACCGTGCTCCTCCTTGAGAAAACCCTCCCATTTCGCCTGGCTGTACAACCTTGAACCCCTACCTCCTTTTGTGATGAATGACTTGCCTACATGTATGTAAAACCCTTTCGTAAAGAAGAAACATAAAACTCATCTCATTGAGGAAACTGCTCTTTATTTAATGTTTTCCAATCCAGCAAAGATGTATGTGGAACTTAACAAAGACAAAAAAAACTCTCTCTCACCCTAAAATTAAAAAAAAAAATGCCACACAAATCCATGGTACATGTACTTGTTTTATTTTGTTCTTTGAAGAAGTTTACCAAAATGTATGTTTGTGATGAAGTACACTGCTGTGGAAAAACTATTTCATTTACTACAAGGAAACTGTACATGTCAACCAATAACTTTTCTATCATTATAAACATTCGTGTCTCTTTTCTTGAGTTTTAACCGAAGTTTTTGGGGACTGGGCTGCGGGAAAGTTGCTTCAGTAAAAAATAATAACATTGCATGCAGTTGACATGAACTACCTGCTTAGAGCTAACCGATATATCTTAATATCTTCATCACAAAATAAATCACAAAAACAACAGGTACATGCATAATCAATCACATCACACTCCTCTAACCAAATAAGCAAGCTTTCAGGACAAAAAGATGATCTTAATAGGACACACCATCAGGACACAATGAGGGGTCAAAGGTGACTAGAAGGGAGAAGAGCAGAATCAGCTTGAGATTGGACTCTGATCAGATCCTGTAGTGTTCAGATAGATCAACAAACAGGTTGGTAACACCTGCTGCTTGGTAAACCAACATCACACCTGACCAACTGGGGACCCTCTCAGACAATGCTACACGTACATGTACATAATACGGTTATTGCTGGGAACATGAAGTGATCAATCTCTGTGTGGAATTGAATACAAAAAAGGTTGTGCTACATGTACATGTAAATGATCCATTAACTTTCAAAACGGGGTTATTCAGAGAACTTGAATTGTGTTCATGGACCTGCAGAAGAACTGATCAACAGGAACAAAGGATACGAACAAAGGAAAACAGTGATACATGTATGCCTGATTTTAACCAATGAGCAATATATCCAACAACTTTGCTGAAGTATAAATTGAACAAAAACCCTGTTTTAACTCCATCCAAAAGAACAATGTTATTTTGTTGAAGTTTCTAACAAAGTCCGAGAACTTGTCATTTTCTTTCTCATGGCCTTATTTTGTACATGTACCTGCTGCTGGGACTTCTTGTGCCACCCACACAATGTTGATGTACCGGTAGGTAAAAGATATGGTTTTTATTTAGGCAGCTGTCATTTTGGCAAATGTTTCAAACAACCATACCACGGTGCATCCTAACTCAAATAAACATGAGATGCTACGAAGCTTTGACAGCCTAAGGCCAGTGACCTGTACTACAGGTTGTAAGCTTCACATGATGAGCAGAAATATCGAAATTGTCTTTACAGCTGTATGACATGTTAATTAATGATGGATGACTACTCTATGATCTTAAATCTATACTGCCCTCTTTAGACATTCCTTCCAGCAATCTTAATTGACAGGAAAGAGTGAAGCCTGCCGAGTCAAACAAAATCAAAAAACGATTGTATTGTCTCTAAATGATCAGATCAGCAAGACATCGTAAAATTTGAAATGGAGACCGTACATGTATATGACTGTATTGTTATCAATGTGTAGGTACAGGATATCACCTGCCAGTGATATCCTAAGCCTACTGTCATCTCCTTGCACATGGCCCAGAGTCTACAAGATCTACATGTACATTGTAAGAGCATTACTTGAGCAAGGAGGCCCTGGCGGTAGGAGAGTGGGAGATGCACATGAAGTACACGTGTACTTTATTACTGGAGGGTAGCTTTTGCAAGCTTCGTGACATGATAAAGCTTTTACAGTAAGCTTAGAACTTCTAAAGGCTGAAGAAAGTATGCAAAAATATTGGCCAAAAGAGAATGCAACATTTCTATTGCACATTCTACGGAGGATGACTTAGCCAAATTCTGTAGTAAGGCTCAATGTTGGGGAACTGCTAAGCTCCTTACAGTGTCTCTATTTTCACAAAAATCATATAGAGTAAGCAAAGAAGGAAAAGCAAGTGATCCCCCCAAGACAAAACCTGGTTTTAAAGGGAGTGAACACCATTGGTTTTCTGTTGTAATTTCACAAGATTCGCTGATTACGGCGTGTAATATTCACGGCGACTTACATTCCAATGACTTGTTTCATGTTTGAGTCAGCTGCCTTGTGAAAAAAAAGAGAAACAGCGTGGCATTTTCAATGCTTAAATTGAAGATCTTGTAATTTATCTTGCGTAAAATATCTTGCGTATGGAGTACAGGGCGTTTGTAGTAAGCCAACAACATCTGCAGGGTCACAGTGGGAAACAGGCATGACAGGTTCTCATTCCCTTAAAAAGGAGCAGTTTTCAAAGGTTAGGAGTAATCAGTGAATTTACCTTGGAGTAATGCGCCTCCTCGACAATGCAATATTGTGGATTTATGAAAAAAATTTATCCAGAAACGCAGTTGATTCGTGTCCATGAATGCGTAGGCCTATATAATAAAGCATGTGCGCACGCGATCATGCTTATTTTCTGCACTTTCATGTCAAGATTCAAGATTTATTTCATTTTCTTGAAATCTTGAATCTTGAATATCAGTTCACATGTTGATGAAAGTCTAAAAACTCCATTCTCAGTTGATTCACTAATAATTATAAGCAAAGAAGAAATTATGTCTTGAAACATGGAGGGTTTCATGTGTGGAAATCATACTTTTTGTTGGCGAATATCCCTTTCACCATTCTGCTCCAATGGCAGGGCTGGCTAGTCTGAAAGCAGGCTGTGCTCGTATATTCATACAATAATTATAGGCCTGCATATGAAAGTCACGGCAGGATAAATGTAAACTCGTAATCATAAGTTACAAACGAATCACAGTCCTTGTTGGTGATGGATGTGTTTTTCATTTCATTCATTATTTGTAAAGTGCCCTTACATTTATTCAGGGGTGCAAATTTTTACGCTCCTTTAGAACTAGGAATGTTGAGGAGTGCGGTAGGAGTGCCTGCATGATCGCGTTCCTTTAAAATGAAGGATCAGATATTTCAGGATTACACGGTAATCCAACTGGGAACTTTACCAATGGTGTACACTACCGGTACCTTTAAAATACGTAGAAGAAACAATACAAGTTTTAATGAATGAAGTGCCAGCAAATTTATAATCTCTGGTATCTCTGGCTATGTAATCCTCTCTTCCATGTATTCATCAAATCCAGTACCATGAGCAGTGGCTCAAAGTTGGTAATGGTGCATACAAAACTGGGCATTAATATTCAGGATTCAACAACAATGCACTGACCTTTTCAAATTTGCAGCTGGCACCACACCAGTGAAGGCAGAAAAGTCAACATTCATTATTAACTTTTAATTAAACTTATTTGCTCATGCGAAGCTACTTTATTCCCAAAGCAATTTTCCTTGAAATTGAAAAAAAATAGAAGGCCTGATGTAAGTGTTCATTTTTTCTCTTAATCAAAGTTTACTGAATCCTTAATTTTAAAGAGATACATGCAAGAAACAAACTCTGATCTGAAAATTGAGCAGGTCAGATAACAGTGGCCCAGGCAGGTCAGATAACGGTGGCCCAGGTCTTTACATTTTGACTACTCTCGCAGCAAGGTTATAAGAGGAATTCTTATTAATTTTTATTTACTTTAAGTGTCTCAAAGGGAAAGATCATGACATTTTTCACTGATTATAGAATTTCAAGATTTACACAGTATTTACCAGTACATGTAACTGCTGATTTGTTAAAGGCAATTCAACTTATGTATGTAACCATCCAGCCTTCTCAACTTAGACTGATCCAATGAGTCCATTTCTAAAAGTAAGGGTAGTTTTACATTTCTTACCGTTTTGGTTTTCCTCAAAAGCGCTGGCTGTTAAGTGACCAATGATTGGTTATACTTGTTGAGTTCTACCACGCTCAAGTACCCACTTGCTTAGGTTCCAAACATCTACAGGTGCAGACAGAGGAAAATGCAATCATTTAAAGATTTTTCTAGGGACAATGCCCAGGGACATAACCAAATGGGAGAGAAATGAATAAATCCAGAAAAGAAATTCCAATAAATGACATCAAAACACATAAATACATGTATGTGCACTGTTTTTGACACTTCTACACCTAATGGGAACTTGCATTCAATCACTTTCACAAACGTAACGTTCACATACAAACTGTTGTCCACCATCATCATGGTCATACACAATGTTATTTACTTGCATCAAGCCCCATTCGGGGCCTTAGCCCCATATAAGAAAATGCATGTAACTTGCAACTTCATGGTCCCACACTTTGTTTCAATGTTCTCAAAATTCAAGATGAACAAACTGTCACCAAAGTGTCTTGCAGCACAAATTGCAATAACTGGCAAGACTATTTCAGGCACGTACATGGAAATGAAGCTATCACCCTCCTGAGACACGTAAAACACAGTGGCTCTTTAGATAAATATTTCAATAGAGTTTAAACCAATTTACATGTACATGTATATGCACGGTCCATATGCATGTACCGTCACATTTACCACATAGATGAGGGTCTGAAACTACTGTAAGTGCATGATGAGTTTGCGTTACACTGACAAAACATTTATCAGCTTACAGTTGCGCTGTGGGGCAGGTACATTGTAATTACTTGCATTGTTACATGTACATGTTACATGTACATGCTCTATGTACATCTATAAGTAATAAAACAATAAAATAAAAACACATCCACAAGCAAAGGTTACTGACATTTTATGTAACCATCAGTCTGAACACCATTCCCCCAACTAGGTAGGTACATGTACATGTGCATGTAAAGTCTGGGATAAGAAAATTTATTTAGTTAGAGCTTGTATGAATTTGCATTCAGTGATCGCCAATGGTTATACAATTACTTCTTGGTAAACTCCGCTGATTTAGGTAAACAATACCACTGTGTCCTGATAAAGACATGGATCAACATAAATAAGCATACCACCAGAGAAGCTTATATATACAAGAGATTTTTAATTGGGCAGTGGGCAACTCTTGTGCTTCACTGAAAAGTTTTGAGAACTTCCGCCATACTTCCTGTTCCATTATCACTGAATAAACATCAAGTGGTCCCATTGGAAGTGATAGAGAAACAGAAAGTTAGGACCAGAGGTACATGTCGTTGAATAGATCAGCTCTGTCAAGCTACTGCATGTTATCTCTCACAAAACTGCACAGGCCTAGAACTTGCACAATTGGTTTTTTGAAAAATTGCAACTATTACAGTGACTCAAAATTCACATCTGTGATTTACGCATGCATAAACACATGTATGGCCCTGCAGATTCTGATTTTAAGCAGCTACCGGTACCAGGTGCATCTCAAGTTACTCAGAAAAACAGAATTGGCTGTTTGGAATTCTTCCTGAATCTTCCAAATTCTGTCCTTGTCAGGAAATCAATTGTATACATCCTTTGTAAGCACATTCACACCTCACTTTTCTCATGGTACACGTGTACCAGTATGTCAACTTTTGCTTTTACTTTTCTGTCCACTTAAAATAACCTGCAGCACTTCAAAGAACAAACAGGGTCCTTGAGATCTGCTTTTGAAATCATTTTTCATATTTCTAACAAACAAAGCTTGTAACATTTTCCACTGTTGGGTATTTTATGAGATCATTAAGAACGACCCCCACTGCCACCCAGGGACTCTTTTGACTTACATAATTTCACAAGTGATACTCTGGGGAACAGCGCCCAAATTAAATTGAATTCGCATGCACTGCGTGAGGTGTTAGATGTCACAAGAAAACTGCAGCCTGTGCTCCATCAATTGTGAACTGTCCAGTCAGCGCCATTCACTATTAATTACCATAACAAGACAAACAAAAAGCAGAAATGGATCCCAGTCTCTCTAAAATAACAACTTCCTGTATTGGCATCCCAAGGGAACTTTTAACAGCACACAAGGCAGTTGCAAGCATTTGGAATTGGAATCGCACATTTATCTAACTGCTTTTCCAGATCTTAAAATAATTGTTTCAGGATTGTCCTTTGTGTCTGGCAAAATTGTCAGGATATTCTTGCTTTATTTTGTGACTTTTTGGGACAAATGCTGCTCATTTACAGTCTGTGACAACCAGAACCTCGCTTGACTTGCAATTTTTATGTGCCAGTGAAACCAACAAAATTAATTCAGGCCTGTGGTAAAGTGTGCAAGCACATGTACACGTACATTCATACAATAATTATAGGCCTGCATATGAAAGTCAAGGCAGGATAAATGTAAACTCGTAATCATAAGTTACAAACGAATCACAGTCCTTGTTGGTGATGGATGTGTTTTTCATTTCATTCATTATTTGTAAAGTGCCCTTACATTTATTCAGGGGTGCAAATTTTTACGCTCCTTTAGAACTAGGAATGTTGAGGAGCGCCGTAGGAGTGCCTGCATGATCGCGTTCCTTTAAAATGAATGTACCGTGATTATGCACTGGATTCATCTTAATGGCACTAACAATGTACCATAACAGGTGCCGTACAGTGAACCTCGGAATGTGTTCGCATAAACTTCCGTTCTCAAATGTCAAAGTCCCTCCAATTTTGGAACAAATCCTGCTTTTCAAATCCTCTAAAAGATAACAGCAATCCAATGCAAATTTCAAAATATCATCATGGAATACAATGTCACTCTCCACAGCTGAAGATAGCCCACTTCAAATGGGAGAGTTTAAATGAAATGGATAAATGAAGACAGAGTAAACTATCCAGTAAGATTTACTCACAAGTACATATCAACATTTATATGTTCCTGACAAAAATAGACCTACCCTTCAAAGGATTCCATGTGGGACCAAAGTAACAGGCAAGAAAGCAGCATGAGAGGAGGCCACGCTGGCCTGATTCTGGGGGTCAAGGGTACATTGTTCATGTTTGGACAAGTTGGCTTCAGTCCCCTGAGACAAAACACAGTTTGTTGCCCAGACTTGTTTTTCCCCTGAAGTGAGAGGACTGATGTGACTGGGTCTCACCAACCTCAACATCTTCAGAAATAATGGACTCAAGTGGTACTTTGCGCTGCTGGGCTGAATACATGATAAGCAGGGACATTTCTCCTTAAAAAACTTCAGTAGTTAGTGTGGTCAGTATTTATGCTCTCCTTGACATTCAATATGAACATTCATGAATGATGTGAATTCCAAATACACTGGATCAATGGAGAAAGGGTGAACATTCCAATAAAATACACGCAGCTCCATCTGTGCTTTGTTGGTTTTTTTTTTGTTTTTTGGATATTAACCAGATCAAATACAAACACAGGGTCCATAAGACAACAAAGAAGACTGTTGGTATTTGAGATTGCATGTACTTTGTCCAATCAGAATGCAACCATGATGGAATGAGGGAGTGTGTTGGACTGTAAACATCGAAATCAAACACCCCAGAGGAATGGGGCAACTTGAGTGAACAGTCAACCGACCAAGCCACAATTCGGACCAAGCCACAATTCGAACCTGTTAGGTAATGTGTATTTTTAAATAAAACAGTCTCGCTCTCAAATGAAGGAAAAACTACCCAAGTCACACAAGTACCAAAAAGGGGTTTGAAGTGTAATATTAATACACAAGCAAACCCTCAGAATACACAGCACATAAACAATTTCCTTATCAGTTCCTGTGTCCTATCTCTATCCTGTAACTTGGAACTTATTAAATGACATGCTCTGAACAAAGAATCATAATTTTTGGCGCCATCTTGGCATGATACACCTTTCTAAACTGGCCTGTTGTTACAGCCTAGTAGCAGAGACCTTCCAGATTGCAACAGTTATTGTTCAGGAATTCCTATGTTACACAGCCAATTTGGGCATCTTAAGATAAACAAACTTGGTCCAGGAATGCTGTGGTGTACTCTGCAGAGCCAGTGGGATAGGGTCATGGACATGAGATCTTTCAAGTGTTTGACAGCCTCCTCCGGTCTGGTAATACATGTAGATTGTAGCCTGTACTCTGAGAAAATATGGTCAGCTAAAATGTCTGAAGAATATGCCAAGGGTTCATGTAAGAGTTTCCATTTGAAGCAAACTCCTGGTATTTACTCTGGTTTTTGCACTTGTGATGTACGTCAATTGTAAGAGTATGTTCTCAGGAACTGATAACGGCAGAACAAACTTGATCGTGTTGGAAGGTCTTGTACAACCCCTTTTTTGGCCTAATTTCGGGCTCTTAATACATCTATCCAGTACAGTACATGCACACAGCCACTTGGGTTACAGTGCTGATGGAAAATTCATGCTACTTCAGGCAGCCCCTTGACAAACCCACTTAATCCTCTTTCTTTAAGAAGTGTGCATGAAATTCCAAGCGGGATTGAAGCTAGGTAATCAGAGCGTGCCCACATACTACTATGTACCATGTAGAAGGCTGTGATACCATACTGATTAATGCAATCCAACACTGCTTACACTGTGTCCCATGAAAATGTTTGAGATAGCATTTAATGTCTTGTAGCAGTGCCTACCAGTGACAGCTTACATTCTCAGCGTAGTTTGATGACAGGTAAACTGAGGATGATGCTGGCTTCTCTAGACAGGCCAAGACGACTCCACAGCATTCCTACCTACTTCTCAGCAGGGTGAATCTGTCACTCAGAAAGTCAAATGCCATGTCCCTTGCAGTGTTACCAGAACCCAACCAAACACAATTACCCTCATTACGGCCCGTTTCATAATACATAATCTCACATCAATCATGTTTGTTTCAATGTTAACCATTCAGAAAAGTTATTTTGCTGTATCACTCCTGACATTTTTACATTTCTAATTTCAGTTCACATATGTAGGTTTGCCAAGCCCAATATTATAACATTGGGATGAAATTTTTTTACAACCTATATACTTAACTCTTGTCTATCTACATGTATTTATTTTTGGATGTGGGCAAACTGAGGAAATCACGTTTCAAATGAGTGGCTCAGTGGCCCTGAAAACA